CATACATTGGTGTGAGGCGGCAGGGCCGCTTGAGTGGAGTTGTGGTATTATTCTTACACCTACACCTATATATATTGGGTGAGGCGGCAGGGCCACTTTTTGTAAAGATGGTTACAGAGGATCTCATCTTAAATCCTATAAATGTTATTGATAGCTCTTAATAAGCTTGCTTTGGTTTAAACGGTTATCTATATTATTCTATTCCCGCCCTGATTCATCATATTCATATTATATTTCCGAATTCCTAAATTGGTGTTTTGTTTTCATACTAGTACTATTCGACGGTACTAACGTCCTTTTTGCCTGGGGCGCTGCATCTTTAAATGGATGCAGGTGGTTCCACAATAGTACACCTTCTTCCCAACTGACTTGGTGAGCCCCATTCCATCCCGAGTTCATGTATCTTTTGTTCTTTGGGTATTCTGTTTGAGGTACAGCCGGGGCCTTGTTGCCGGCATTATCATTGTACTCTTCTTTATCTATAGAGGCTTCGTAGACATAGTGTGGGTTGTGTATTGGTGTTGGGAAAGACAAACTATGTTATGTTGTGGTTGTATTACTTGTCCCATTTGAGACTTTAAAAATGATGAAAGCTATTAGTAAGAAATTGGTATTGCAGACATGATCACTTTATTGTTTGAATAACGAAAACATATATTCTCTTTATTCATGAATGAGCTGGGTAGAAGGAAATCTAATAGGCTTGCTCGGCCGAGTTCACTCGGTTGAACGCCGGTCGCGCTCCCCAATTTTGGGGCGTGGCAATGCGTGGCAGAGAGAGGGAGGGCATGGAGGCCAAGAGTCCTCGAGATTCTGGAGGATATAGCGGTGCTCGCACTCTGGTTGTAGACCTTCATGGTAGAGGCTATGTGGGCCGCCCAGTTCATTCAGCACTCCCAGCTATTAACAGTGCTCTGGCTATTCCGAGGTCTCAGGTTGCCCATTTTTCTCAGCCCCTTTCCAGTGCACCTCTTGCACGAGGTGCCTTCAGCGGTCAGTCTAGCCGACCAGGCCAGAGTCAATTTTAGCAACCACGCCCACTGAGAGCTTGTTTTGAGTGTGGTGATACCAGACATATAGTGAGGGACTTCCCTAGAATCAGGAGGGGTGCACCTCTACAAACCACACAGGCTCCATAGATTCCACATGGTTCATAGGCTACGGTTGCTGCTCCAGTTGCCGCTCCACCCGCACTGCCAACTAGGGGTAGAGTTCAGGCGGGTAGAGGTCTCCATTGAGTGGGATGCCAGGCTCGCTTCTATGCTTTTCCTGGTAGGATAGAGGTGGTTGCATCGGACACTATTATTATAGGTATTGTTCCGGTTTATCATATGGATGCATCAGTCTTATTTGATCCGGGTTCCACTTAGGCATATGTGACATCTTACTTTACTAAAAAATTGGATATATCTCGTGATTCTTTGAGTGATCCTGTATTGGTGTCCACGCTTGTGGGATATTCTATTATTGTGGATTATGTATATCGGTCGTGTTTAGTTGCTATTGGTGGTTATGAGACCATAGTCGATCTATTGTTACTTAGTATGATAGACTTTGACGTGATCTTGGGCATGGACTGGTTGTCGCCATATCATGTTATTCTGGATTGTCATGCTAAGACTGTGACACTGGCTATGCTAGGTTTGCTGTGGTTGGAGTGGAGGGTACATTAGATTATATTTCTAGCAGATTTGTGTCCTTTCTTAAGGCACAACGGATTGTTGAGAAGGGGTGTGAAGCATATCTAGCCTTTATGAGGGATGCCCGTGTTGATACTTCTATAGTTGAGTCAGCTCCGGTAGTGATAGACTTCCCAGATGTGTTCCCAGCAGACCTACCGGGCATGCCGCCTGATAGGGATATCTAATTTGGTATTGACCTAGTGTTGGGCACTCAATCCATTTCTATTCCACCATATTGTATGGCACCAGTTGAGTTGAATGAGTTAAAGAAACAACTTCAGGAATTGATTGATAAGGGTTTCATCTGGCTGAGTGGTTCCCCTTGGGGTGCTCCAGTTCTATTTATGAAGAAGAAAGATGGTACTATGCAGATGTATATTGATTATAGACAGTTGAACAAAGTTACAGTCAAGAACAGGTGCCCACTACCGTGCATTGATGACGTTTTTATCAGCTTCAGGGTGCTAGAGTGTTCTCAAGGATTGATTTGAGGTCAGAGTATCATCAACTGAAGATTCAGGATTCGGACATCCCGAAGACTGCTTTTAGGACTCGGTATGGTCACTACGAGTTTCTAGTGATCTTATTTGGGCTGACCAACGCCCCAACATCATTTATGCACTTGATGAACAATGTATTCCAGTCATATCTTGATTCATTCATAATCGTGTTCATTGATGACATCTTGGTATATTCTCGCAGTCGAGAGGATCATGAGCAGTATTTGAGGATCGTGCTCCTGACTTGGAGGCACTATTCTTCATGCATTAAAGATTTGGAGGCACTATCTATATGGTATTCCATGTGAGGTCTATATCAACCATCAGAGTCTCCAGCATCTGTTCAAGCAGAAAGACCTTAATTTGCGGTAGCGTAGATGGTAAGAGTTGCTGAAAGACTATGATATCACTATTCTAGATCATCCCAGGAAGTCCAATGTGATGGCCGATGCCTTGAGTAGAAAGGCTGAGAGTATGGATAGTTTGACATATTTACCAGCAGCAAAGAGGCCACTAGCCATGGATGTTTCGGCTTTGGCCAATCAGTTTGTGAGACTAGATGTTTTGGAGCCCAGCCGGGTTCTTGCTTGCGTGGTTTTTCGATCTTCTTTGTATGAGAACATCAGAGTGCATCAGTATGACGACCCACATTTGGTTATCCCTAAGGACACAATGCAGCACGGCGATGCCAAGGAGGTTTCTATTGGTGATGATGGAATGTTGCGGATGCAAGGTAAGATATGTATGCCCAGTGTGGACGGGTTGCGTGAGTTGATTGTCGAGGAGGCCCAAAGTTCGGTGTTCTAGTCATCCGAGTGCCACTAAGATGTATCAGGATTTGAGGCAGCACTATTGGCCGAGAAGAATGAAGAGAGATATTGTAGAGTATGTGGCTTGGTTTGAACTGTCAGCAGGTGAAGTACGAGCATTAGAGGCCGGGCAGATTGCTTTAGAGACTTGAGATTCCCGAGTGGAAGTGGGAGCATATTACCATAGATTTCGTTGTTGGGATCCTACAAACTTTGAAGACATTTGACGCAGTATGGGTTATTGTGGATAGGTTGACCAAGTCGGCACATTTCATTCCGGTGGTGACTACATATTTATCAGAGAAGCTGGCCTAGATCTATATCTATGAGATTGTTCTTCTCCACGGTGTGCCGGTGTCTATTATCTCCGATCAAGGCACAAAATTCACTTCATATTTCTAAAGAGTCGTGCAACGTGAGTTAGGCACACAGGTTGAGTTGAGTACAACATTTCACCCCCAGAAGGACGGGTAGTCTGAGCGCACAATCCAGATCTTGGAGGATATTCTACATGCATGTGTTATGGATTTTGGGGGTTCATGGGATCAGTTCCTACAGCTCGCAGAGTTCGCCTACAACAACAGCTGCCAATCGAGTATTTAGATGTCTCCTTATGAGGCCTTACATGGGAGACAGTGCTTTTCTCCAGTTGGTTGGTTGGGATTCCTTGGAGAAAGTCAAGTTGATTCAAGATCGACTTCGTACAACATAGTCTAGCTAGAAGAGTTATGCTCATCGGAAGGTTCGTGATGTAGCATTTATGGTAGGAGAGAGGTTTTTTTTTGGTTTTCACCCATGAAGGGTGTGATGAGGTTCGGGAAGAAGCGTGAGTTGTGCCCCAGGTATATTGGTCCTTTTGAGATCCTTGAGAGAGTTGGTGAGGTGGCCTACATACTTGCATTTCCACCTAGTCTATTAGTAGTTCACCCGGTATTCCATGTTTCCATGCTCCGAAAGTATTATGGTGATCCATCACATGTATTAGATTTCAACTAAGTCCAATTGGACAAGGATTTGACTTATGTTGAGGAGTCGGTGGACATCTTGGACAGGCATGTCCGAAAGTTGATGTCAAAGAACATTACTTCAGTGAAGGTTCATTGGAGGGGTCATTCGGTCGAGGAGGCGACCTGGGAGACCGATCACGACTTGCATAGTTGTTGTCCTCACCTTTTCATTATTTCAGGTATATATCTATGCACGTTCGAGGACGAATGTTTATTTTTATAGGGGGTGAATATAACGACCCGACCAGTCATTTTATGTATTTGAGTCCCGTTTCCCTTTTTGATTCTTCACACATGTGTATTTATGGATTTATGAATTGCGGGGTTGGTTAGTTCAGCTCCGTGATGGTGTTGGGTTGATTTGGACCCTTTGGTTCTTCGTTTAGAAGCTTAAGTTGGAAATATTGACCAAAGTTTGAATTTTATGAAAATGACCCCATAATAGTATTTTGATAGCTCTGATAGGTTCGTATTGTGATTTTCGACTTTGGCGTATGTCCGTAATCAATTTCGGAGGTCCGTAGGTTGATTTGACTTGTTTTATCAAAATTTGGCAATTTGAGGTTTATAAAGTTTTCCCAAGTTTGATCCTAGGTTGATTTTTTGGCTATCAGGTTTGGAATTTGGTTTTGGGACTGGGAATAAGTTCGTTTTGCTATTTGGATCTTGTCTGCAAAATTTGGTGTCATTTGGAGTTGGTTTGATAGGATTCGGACGCTTGGTTTCAATTCTAGAGGTTCTTGAGTTATCTTTTGACATTCATGCATTTTGATGTCTGATTCATTGTTCTAGATGTTATTGTTTGGTTGTGATCACACGAGTGAGTTCATATGATGGTTTTAGACTTGTGCAGATGTTTGGTTTGGGTCCCCGATGGCTCGGGTGAGTTACAGACTTGTTTTGGAAAGGTTGCAATTGCCAGCACTAGTGTGCTGGGGACTCAGGTATCGAAAGTGTGATACCTGGTTCACATTTGCGATGGCTAGTCTTAAGATGGGTAGGTCACAATGGCGACCATATGGTCGCATTTGCGAGGAGGGTAGACTTCGCGTTTGCAAGGTCTGCGTCGCAATTGCGACATCTCCTGGGCTTGACAGTTGCCGCATTTGTGAGGTTTTCTTCGCCATTGCGAACCCGGTGTTGCAATTGCGACATCTGCAACTGAACAAAAAGTTGGAAAGTTGGGATTTCATCTCATATCTCTCATTTTAGAACCCTAGACTCGGTAGGAGGCAATTTGGAGAGGGTATTCTTACCTACAATCATTGGATAAGTGATTCTAATCCATTTCCAACTATATTTCATGATTGTATATGAGGTTTAACATCAAAATTATGAGAATCAAAGAGAAATTTTGGGGATTTTTGTCTATGTTTTGAAAAATGAAAATTTGGTTTTTGAGAGTCGATTTGGACTCGGATTTCAAAACAAAACACATATGTAGACTCATGCATGTTATATCTTCCATCATTGAAGTTATTCTGACATGATCTATTTGATGTTGTTAGCATATGTTATATCTTTTATTGTCATGTTTGCTCTAATATGCTTTAGTTAAAGTTGTTACCTCTCTTATTGTCTTGTTACCTCTTTTATTGTTGAATTATTCTTATTTGAAGTTGTTGATTATTTAGATATCTTTCCTCCTTGAGCATCCCTCATTCATTGTGTTATTATTGAGATTCTTGTTGACATTGTTGGTTGAGCTATGGGCTATATGTTGTGGTAACATTGGTATTGTTGATTTTTGGCAAATGTTGTGGCATATGGGCACCTATGGTGCGAGTGGATTATTGTGTTGTGATATTGATACGCATGGGGTGAGCTAAGGCGGGATTGATACGCGTGTTGCAAGTAAGGGAATTACTTGAAGCCACGCGGTGAGAGAAGGGGGCTAAAATGCGTGTAGCTATATAGGGAAAAATGTTTTCAAAATAAATGCAAGGCTCACGCAGTGAAAAAAGAAAGATTGTGATTGTGACTTGTGTAATGAGACTGTGAGGTGTGGCACTTCAGTTGTGATTCTTGTTGTACATTCTTTGTTAAAAAGACTTGTTGGTTGAACAATTTTGGCTATTTCCTCATTTGTCTTACTTGTGGTTGTCCCTATTTGATTTCTTGTTGTTCTTGTCATGTGTTCATTCTTTGTTTCCTTTATTGCCTCCATTTCCATTGTTATCCTACATTATTGTACTTCTTTGTTATCATTCATTTCCCGCTTTGCATTATTAGTCTATATTATATTTTGTCGAGTTTTCTTGTCCTAGTAGGTGTCTTGACCTGGCCTCGTCACTACTCTACCGAGGTTAGGCTTGATACTTACTGGGTACTATTGTGGTGTACTCATGCTATGCTTCTGCACATGTTTTGCAGATCCACGTACATCCGTTTGTACCGGATGCCAGTGATTGATCAGTCATTTCTAGAGACTTCAAGTTACACCTGCCTGATGTTCGCAGGCCTCAGAGTCACCTTTCGCTTTTAGCTATATTATGATTTATTTCCTATTCAAAATAGTATTGTATGTAGTGATTATTAGTGCACTCTATGTAAAGCTTATGACTCCGTTCCACTAGGTTTTGGGAGTTATTGACAGTTGTATCTATTTGGTTTTACTATGATAGTTTATCAGTTTAAGTTGATATTTAAATTGTTATTTTTTCTAAATCTTGATATATGTTGGGCTTACCTAGTCTTAGAGACTAGGTGCCATCACGACATCTTAAGGTGGGAGTTTGGGGTCGTGACACATAGCCGCCCGGACAACTCACGTGATGCACGTAAAACTCATGTGCCAATAATAATAATAATCCCACAGACAACTCACGTGCCAATAATAATATTATAATCGATGCAGTACAAATACCTCATGCCAAATCAATATTAATCCATAATATCTGCATGACAGAAACTTCGTGCTATCACTTCCGTCCATATCTAAGAGCCATATGCAGGAATGTATACATATGAATAAGAGATAAGCATATATAATACACATGGATAGGAAAATAACCATGCATGGGTGTAGATCATCCCTAAGTAGGATATATGCCTATATGTACGTATGACTCCGGACCCATAAAGTAGTACGTCATCTAAATAATCATCATGCCTCAATAAGAATAAAAGAGACAAATCATTGTGTTTAATGTGGGTAAGGAAGCTCAAGTAGTCATACATCAATTAAAGGCATAACACAAGAATAATAAGTATAGAAGCATGTTCATAATACACGTGTGACTACATCTAAAAAAGTATTTCAAAGATCTTGAAAATAGTTCATCATGCTCAAAATAAGGTATCATTAACCTAAATATAATCCGTAGAATGGCTTATGTATTCACGTAGTCATTCACTCGCGTAAAAGCGTAGAACACGTAGCACAACCATTCAAGACTTAGAGTAATCTACAATCTCTCTCGAGTATGTATAATTATGGTACATGCATATACGCTCTTCACCTCGCATATATATCACCCTTGCATGTGGCAAATAATATTATTTATTAGGAATATTCCCCTCAAACCAAAGCTAGGGAAGACACATACCTCATCCGGCTAGTCTTCACCCTCAAATCGCATTAAAACCTTGCTCTATCCATCTAATCATGCAAATCCAAGCTAAACATCATTCAAGAAAGTCAAATAATGCTATAAGAATCGATTCCAATTCATAAAGCTTCAATCTTTGGTGAATTTTTAAAAATTCAACAAAAGTCAACCCGGGCTTGTGTGGTCGAACTTCAATACCAATACCATATCGGATGATCCATAACCTACTGAGTCCAAATATATAATTAATTTCCAAAATTGAGTCCAAATCGATACTCAAATCCATAAAATACACTCTCTTAAAGGCTAGTCACAATACAAAATTTTCCTTTGAAATTCCATGTTTTAGGTTTAGAAATCCATGTAGATTATTGAAATATAATCACAAATAGATAGAAATCACTTACCCTCTTGCCTTGTATGATAATCTCTATGAAAAATCACCTTTCTCCAAGTCTAGTGGTTAAAATATAAAAGAATGGGAAAAAATCACGAAATACACAAACTTATAAGTCTGCCCAGAACTACTCTTCGCAAATGCGGCCAAGCCTGGCGTTCATGAAGCACGACGCTACCGCCTACCCAAAACCTCTTACGCTGTAATGATCCTGCCGGTCGTTTTGTGTATTTGAGCTCCATTCCTCTATTTGATGCTCCCCCTATGTTTGTTTGTTGTTTTATGATGTGTGGGATGATTGGTTGGGCTTCGGGAATGTTTAAGAGTGAATTGAGACACCTAGTCTCATTTGTGAAGCTTAAGCTGTAAGAGTTGACCAAGGCTTGACTTTTGAGTAGACGACCTCAGATTGGTAATTTGATTGTTCCAATAGGTTCATATGGTGATTTTCCCACAAATCTGAGCTTAGCCTTGGAATGTGTCCCTACACCGGCACGTGTAGTTCCATGGTAACGAACTCACCACTCGAACCTATCTCGCTGATCTCCACTAGTAACTCCCAAAGTCTTTGATATATTAAGAATAAATTCATAACATAATAGACTCAAAGGATCTATTTTTATCAAATCAAGATTTTCATAGCCAATCCAAACCAACAACAACAACAACATACTCAGTGTAGTCCCACAAGTGGGATCTGGGGAGGATAAAGTGTACAAAAACCTTACCCATGCCTTTAAAAAGACAGAGAGGCTATTTCCGATAGACCCTCGTCTCAGGACGGGGAGTGGGGAAGGGAAATAACAAGCAAACATCAACCGAAGCAAAAATACAAAATTAACAGTAGGTAATGCAATCAGTAAATCGAATAAAAAACAACAGCATGTAGTAACAGAAGTCTAGGGATACGAACAAAACACGAAAGACACCAAGTGGTGTATCAAAGCTACTGGTACAAACAAGGACAACACTCGTCCACCAAACCCTTTATCTTTATTCTCAACCTCCACACCTTCCTATCCATGGTCATGTCCTCAGTGAGCTGGAGCAATGCCATATCTTACCTAATCACCTCTCCCCAATACTTCTTTGGCTAGCCTCTACCTCTTCGTTGACCCTCTCATGCCATCCTCTCACACCTCCTCACCGGAGCATCAATGTATCTCCTCTTCACATGCCCGAACCATCTAAGTCTCGCCTCCCGCATCTTGTCCTCCACAGGGGCCACACCCACCTTGTCCCGGATAACTTCATTTCTAATTTTATCTAACTTGGTATGCCTACACATCCACCTCATCACCATCATCTCAGCCACCTTCATCTCCTTGACATGGGAATTTTTGGCAGGCCAACACTCCGCCCCATACAATATAGTCGGTCTGACCATCGCTTTGTAGAACTTACCTTTAAGTTTTGGTGGTATATTCTTATCACACAAAACACCAGAAATGGGCCTCCATTGTATCCATCCCACACCAAAACGGTGTGTGCCATCCTCTTCAATCTCCCCATTCCCTTGTATAATAGACCCAAGTACTTGAAACTCTCTCTTAGGGATGTCTTGTGAATCGAGCCTCTCGTCTTCGTCATCTTCCAGAGTAGCACCACTGAACTTGCACTCCAAGTATTCTATTTTGGTCTTGTTCAACTTGACACCTTTAGACTCCAAGGTCTGTCTCCATACCTCCAACCTTTTGTTAACACGACAATGAGTCTCCTCAATCAGTACAATATCATCAGCAAATAACATGCAACACGACACCTCCCCTTGAATGTGATGCGTCAACGCATCGATAGACAGGGAAATCAAGAATGGACTGAGGGCTTACCCCTAATGCAACACCATCATAACCGGGAAGTGTTTCAAGTCCCCTCCCACAATCCTCACCCGAGTCTTAGCACCCTCGTACATGTCCTTAATAGCCCTAATGTATGCAACTGGAACGCCTCTAGCCTCCAAACATCTCCACAGTACCTCCCTCAGCACTTTATCGTAAGCCTTCTCTAAGTCGATGAACACCATATATAAATACCTCTTCCTCTATCTATACTGCTCCATCAACCTCCTAACAAGGTGAATAGCTTTTGTAGTCGAACACCCCGACATAAATCCTTGGTTCTCCGAAATAGGCACAATCCTCCTCACCCTCAGCTCCACCACCCTCTCCCATACTTTCGTAGTATGGATCAGTAGCTTGATACCCCGATAGTTGTTGCAATTTTGGATATCTCCCTTGTTATTATACAACTAGATCATCGTACTCCATCTCCATTCCTCAGGTATCTTCTTCGTCCTAAAAATGACATTGAATAGCTCTGTTAGCCATTCTAAGCCCGCCCTACCCACTCTCTTCCAAAATTCCATTAGGATTTTGTCTGGCCCGGTCGCTCTCTCCTTGCTCATCTTATGCATAGTCCCCTCCACCTCTGTAATTTTTATAAGCCGGCAATACCCAAAGTCCCGATGAGCACAATGTTCCCAGCATAATGTTCCTATCCCTCTCTTCGTTTAAGAGTTTATGGAAGTACGTCTGTCATCTCTATCAAATTAGAGCCTCGTCCAACAATACTCTACCTTCCTCATCCTTGATGCACTTCACTTGGTCCAGGTCACGTGCCTTCTTCTCTCGCACATTGGCTAACCGGTACAACTTTTTGTACCCTCCCTTGCCTCCAACATTTTCTTACAAGCGCTCAAATGTAGAAGTCTTAGCCATAGTAATTGCTAACTTTGCTTCCTTCTTAGCCAATCCAAACCATTTGAACAAAATCTAATGAATAACCTTTTTTCATGTCAATGATTTTAGCAATTTAATATCAATCTAAAGATAGAACAGTGCAACTCCTTTGTTGAAATTTCAAAAGACAAACTTTTTCATGAAAACATATCTTTAGCACTCAAATATTTTATAGTCTTATCAACATATAAGTTTTAATAAAACTTATAATATTTTCATTAAGTGTTATTTTTCAAAAAAAAATTTCAAACAAGATTTTTATAAAATCACATGACACTTTATAGGCGCAATAAATTTAGAAACACATAGTGACATGTTTCCCGCTTGTCCCCACAGTACGGATGCATATTTACAAATAATATAATGTATCAACTCAAAATATATTTTTGGAGAGAATCCCTCAGGACGAGTAAGTCTTAATTAACTTACCTCAACCTTCAAGCTCCAAATAATATTATACCACTCTAACTGATTAAAGAGCTCAAATAACGCCAACAATTCAATATCTACCATTAGATATCCCAACTGAATCAAAACAAACACGAAAAGATTCATAAATATCCATCTAGGATTTACCAATTATCCTATTCAATTCCATTCTTATCATTAAATATTCATTTGGAGTCATTAATGATACTATATGTTACTCAACATTACCATGTCACTATCCATTATCTTGAACCAACAAAACTTTATGTTCAAGAACATCCAATTCAAGAACCAGTGTTATTTCTTAGCCAAATGGTGATTCCTCCTTTAATTCACCCATCAATTAGGTTATCAAGTCTATTGGCATCATTAAAAAGTCAAAACAATATCATTTATATCAACCCACCACTATTCACCTTCTTCTTCACAAAATATTATTTTCAAAACCTACTCTTAGGGTTTATGTAATATTTTATTATAACTTCAAATAAACTTCATGAATATGCTACCCATACTCCGATATATCATGTACATGAAGCTCAAGTAAAAAAATTACCTTTTGATGGAAGAATCTTACATTTCCTCTTTTTGGTGTTCTTGAAGATTCAACTCAGTTCCTATGGATTTTTATCCAAGAATGATGTTAGACTAATGTTAAATGGTATTATTCTGCCACAAATGCATCTTAAACACTTACCTTGAAATGTATTAATGAGGTATGTGCTCCTCCTTCTCTCTAGAATCAAGACCTAGCTCCAAAATTAAATTTCTTTCCCTCTCTGTGATATAGCCACTTTTATGCATCTTGTGCCTTGCATAGCTACACACCCCTTTCCCTTCAACCATTCTATATTTCATTAGCGTGTTAGAAATTGCTATGTACAAGGCAGCGTAGCTACGCATAACTTGCACAACTGCGTGGTTGCTGTGCTACTCTTCAGTAAAAAGAGCATAAATCATTGTAGAAATATCCAAATGATGAACGGTTTAAAGCATTCGAACCTAGACACATAATAATTTAATTTTGTAGGAATATCACCACCTAAATCCTAATATATTGAGAGTGGTTCTTGTATGAATTCAGTTCTTATGAAAACTCATTCGAAACCTTACCCCGTCATATAGTTTCCAACTTGACTTGGCCTTATGTTTCTTCCTAGACCCTAAACCACTTCCAATACATCTTGTAAACCTATTATCATGATGTTCATACATGAATTGATGTAATTAGCACACATCGATCTTCTTAATGACCTTTAAACACTTCGAAATATTTTGGGATGTTACAGAAATGTTAACCATTTAAAATTAACAATAAGGAGAAGAGTTTATTGAATGCAGTATTACAAATGGGTGTTTAATTTTATATTTTTTTATAACGCCTCTATGAAACTTAATATTGCTATGATACCTCAAAATATACTTGTTGCACCCTATTTTTTGCAGGTCAAAATAAATTACAACTAGTGGTTCTTCTGAAGTTGATAAAAGATTCGCCACCAAATATTTTAAGGTATATTAGGGTACCTATAAGTCTGTGAAAATTATTATACTAATGGTTTATTCTAAGGGGAAGGGGTTAGGCATTCATTAAAATCTACCTGAGGTAGCTCCTTAAACTTAGTCTAGATTCAGGGAAAGGAATGTCTATATTCTGCTTGAAATTTCTAAGTATGACTTTATGAAAATGCTCTATGTCTAGTTTGGAAACTCATTTTTTAAGAAAGAGGTTGTGTATTTTTGTTAAAAGAATGATACTTATTTGTAAGTCTTTACAACTTATAGAACAAGAGATTACTTTTAAAAAATGTTTTTGTTTGACACGGATATTTTAACGACCCGACCGGTTATTTTGAGTATTTTCACTTCGCTCGGTAGTTTACAGGTATGAGTAGCTTCGTATGATGTATTATGACTTATGTGAATCGTCGGTTTTGGCTTTCAGGTTATTCAGAATCGAATTGGAAGAATGGATTTCATGGTTAAATCTTTAAATTGGGAGAGTTGACCAAGTTTGACTTATTTGTGAATTTGAACATGGAACGGAGTTTTGATGATTCCGGTAGATCCGTTGGGTGATTTTGGACTTAGGAGCGTGTCCGAATTGTGATTTAGAGGTCCGTAGTGAAATTTGGTTTGAAATGGCGGAAGTTGGATTTTTGGAAAGTTTGACGGGTGGGGGGTGACTTTATGATATGGGATTCGGATTGTGATATCGAAATTGTAATAGCTTCGTTTAATCATTATGACTTGTGTGCAAAAATTGGAAGTCATTCCGGATTCATTTGATGTATTTCGACACAAGATATCAAATTTGAAAGTTAAAAGTTCATAGATTTTGATTTGAGGTGTGATTCATCATTTTGATATTGTTATGCGTGATTTGAGGCCTCGAGTAGGTCTGTGTTGTGATATTGGACTTGTTGGTATATTCGGACGGGGTCCCGAGTGGCTCAGATAAGTTTCGGATCACTTTCGTTGCATAGTGCAATGCCAAGGATTCTGGTTCTGGTGTTTCCGCATCTGCGGAAGAATGGGCGTAGATGCGAGTCCGCAGAAGCATAGAAGGCTTGGCTGGAGGTCATCGCAGATGCGGAGGAGCAGCCGCACCTGCAAGTGCGCAGAAGCAGAAATTGTTCTGCAGGTGCGAGGGGCCAGCTGGTTAGTTGTGGTTGCTTAAGCGAACAGTTATCGCAGATGCGACTATTTGTCCGCAAATGCGGAAAGTGCTGGGCAGAGGCTATAAAAATCGAGATTTTTGATTCTTTTATCATATTTTCAGATGTGGGACTCGGATTGAGGCGATTTTTGGATCAAATTTCATCACAATGAGTGGGGTAAGTATTCTACACTTGGTTTTGAACTTATTCCACGAATCTATCTTCACATTTAGCAATTGGTTGATGAATTTAAAGAGGAAATTGGGGGTTTTGGCCTAATGTTTCATAATATGAATTTTTTAGTTTTGAACATAGAATTGGAGTCAGATTTGAGTGAAACTAGTATGGTTGGACTCATAATTGAATGGGTTGTTGGATTTTGTACATTTTATCAGGTTCCGAGGTGCGGGCTCGGTTTGGGCTCTTTGCCGATTTTTGGGCTTTTGATCTTTTTCGATCGGGATTGGTTCCTTTAGCATTGTTTAATGTACTTGAGTTATTTTTGGTAGTTTCGAGCCGTTTGTAGGTCGGAACGCGCGGGGTGGCATTTTGGAGCATCGCTTGGCTTGCTCGGTGCTGGAATTGGCTTGTTCGAGGTAAGTAACTCTTCTAATCTTGGAGTTGAGGGTATGAAATCCCGAAATACGTGTTATGTGATTTGTGTGGAGGTGACTCACATGCTAGGTGACGGGCGTGTGGGCATGCACCATGTGAATTATGACTCTGTTGTTTCCACGGCACTGAATAGTGGCCCTATTTTGTTGATATCCGTAGTTTCACCATGTGATAAAGTAATTGAGCTGTCAATCATGCTAGATATCATGTTTAGGCTTTATGCTGATATTGTTGGGACTCATAGTGGTCGTTTCTTGCTGTCATCTCACTGATTTCATTGATATTTCATGCTCATTCATATCATATCTCAGTCTTAGTTGCTATTTATTGATACATTGTATCATTGTTGTCGGGCTAGTTTCATGACATTCTGAGCCCGTGAGTGAGACTGGAGAGATTGATAACTGTGTGAGGCCGGGGGATGTTTGTGAGGATATTGATACTATAGCACGTGAGTTGCCCGTGCGGATCCAGATATTGATATTATGGCACGTGAGTTGCCCGTGCAGATCCAGATATATGGTCCGTGCGGATTATAGCGCTTGGGCTGTAGGAGCCTCTCCGGAGTCTGCACACCCCCA